GTTGCAGCCGTCATTGTTGTTTGGCGGGTCCGGGCTGGGGATTCGAACCCGCCACCTTAGGTGTACGTGGCTGACGCCTTAGCCGGTTGAGCTATAGGCGCCGAGCCCAGATATCCTAATTTTTAAAAAAAATTTCTGATTAATGTGAGGGTATAAGTAACTAGGTTACTGTGTTTGTTTTCATTAGGTAGATCCCTCCTCTAGTTGTGTCCTGCACTCAAGAGGTATGCCATATACTAATTTTTTCTGATGTTAGAAATACAATAGGTATTTCTCCTTTTTGCTATTGCTGCTATGTTGAGGTTAAGTAGACAGAATTTTTGCAGGTAATCCAGTTGTGCTGAGTGGGAAATGACTCAGGATGCTCACTGAATATCTGAGTATAGACAAGGACAGATCTAGAATTGAAATTAAGTAGGTCACACAGCCTTAAGGCTAGTACCTTCCTCCAACTAAGAATGGTTCAGGAGCATGCTGACCTTGGGAGTTAGGGTATTGGTGGCCTAAGAAACCTGGTCCCAGGTTACTCCTGGTTGGCAAGGTCCTTGGCATGCTGGGTTTATCAGTGACTGACCCAAGAATCGGATATTTCTTTCATCTCTCTCCTACAGGTATTCATAGGTTAGTCTCAAGCCTTGAAATAACTTTGCCTAAATTGGGTCTGACTAGGCACTCTTTAATAGGCCCCCAGATCTGGATCATACTGCTAGGTCTAGTCCCCAAATGGAAACTTCTTGAGAGAATGGTACTCCTGTTCTATCCATCTCTAGGATTTCTTTTCTACCTTGCATTGTTACCTGAAAGAGAAGAGGCAAAAGCCTCTAAACCTCGCTCAGAGTCCTCCTCAACCCCAAGGAAGGAGAGTACAGCCTTATGATAACCAGAGCAGCTGCCACCAGCTGGCCTTGCTCACCTGATTGACAGTAGCTCCCACAGAGCCTTGCAGCACCATTTGAAGCATCTTTGCATCAGGGGGCTCCTGGTTAATGGCAACTGCTAACTGCAGGGTCTTCTTCTTCATATCTTCAATGGCAACTTCAATCGGTGTCAGCACAAACTGAACATAAGACATAAATGTAGACAAGTCACTGTCTGGTCTCATATGCCATAGATGAACCTGGAGCTGTGACAGAGAGGGCACCTGCCTGGATTTGAAGAAGCAGCTAAGGAAAGACTTGCAGAGTAATTTAAAATAATCTTTTTTTTTTTTGAGACAGAGTCTCACTATGTCGCCCTGGGTAGAGTGCCATGGCATCACAGCTCACAGCAACTTCAAACTCTTGGGCTTAAGCGATTCTCTTGCCTCAGCCCCCCCACGTAGCTGGGACTACAGGCATCTGCCACAACACCAGGCTATTTTTCTGTTGCAGTTGTCATTGTTGCTTAGCTGGTCCACGCTGGGTTTGAACCCACCAGCCTCAGTGTATGTGGCTGACGCCATAACCTCTGTGCTACGGGTGCCAAGCCAATTTAAAACAATCTTAATAGGTTAAGAAGAAAGGGCTTAACATTTCTTGAGTACTTACTATGTTCCAGGAACTTTACATACATTTGTCACTTATTCATTTCAACAACCTCCTTCTCTGTGTTTTATAGTCAAAGGGAGATGTGTAAGGTAAAGTGAGCTGCACTAACTTGACACAGGTAGTAAGTGTGCAGGTCAGGATTCGATTGCAGTTATGTGTCTATTCAAACTACGTTTTTTTCTACATTGTCATATTTCCTTTCTTATTGTTGAACAAGTTACTTGACTTACTATTGGGAAAGCCATTAGAAGCACAGCACTGAAGATTCTCTTTCCCATCTCCATTATAACATAAGGTTTTTGTTTGTTTTGTTTTGGTTTGGTTTTGAGACAGAGTCTCATTCTGTTGCCCTGGGTAAAGTGCCCTGGTGTCATAGCTCACAGCAACCTCAAACTCTTGGGCTTGAGCAATCCTCTTGCCTCAGCCTCCAGAGTAGCAGGGACTATAGGCTCCCGTCACAACACTTGGCTAGTTTTTCTAGTTTTAATAGACATGGGGTCTAATTCTTGCTCAGGATTGTCTTGAGCAAGCAATCCACCTGCCTCCTAGCACTCTCGGCCTCCCGGAGTGCTAGGGTTACAAGCATGAGCCACCATGCCTGGCCATACCACAAATTTTGACATCACTTATGCCTTCTCCAACTACCCCTAAGGTTAATTCCTAGTAAATAGAATTCTCTTAAAGGTCAATGTAATTGTTAATTTTATGCTGAGTTATGCTGGTTTAGGGCTGGGCCCAGTCACTCATACCTGTAATCCTAGCACTCTGGGAGGCCGAGGTGGGTGGGTTGCTTGAGCTCAGGAGTTTGAGACCAGCCTGAGCAAGAGTGAGACTTCATTGCTACTAAAAATAGAGTACCTAGCTCAGTGTTATGGCAGTTGCCTGTAATCCTAGCTACTTGGGAGGCTGAGGCAAGAGGATCTCTTGAGCCAGATGTTTGAGGTTGCTGTGAGATATGATGATGCCATGGCACTCTACCCAAGGTGACAGAGTAAGACTCTGTCTCAAAGAAAAAAAAAAAGGTAATGCTGGTTTTGGGGGAGGGTCCTTTCTGAATGTTATGTGTGGAGTTTTATCCCCCCCAAATTCATATGTTGAAGTCCTACCCTCCAGGCTCGGCGCCTGTGGCTCAAGTGGCTAAGGCGCCAGCCACATACACCTAAGATGGCGGGTTCGAATCCCTAGCCCGGGCCCACCAAACAACAATGATGGCTGCAACCAAAAAAAAAATGACCAGGTGTTGTGGCGGGCACCTGTAGTCCCAGCTACTTGGGAGGCTGAGGCAGGAGAGTCGCTTGAGCCCAGGAGTTGGAGGTTGCTGTGAGCATGATGCCATGGCACTCTACCCAGGGGGATAGCTTGAGGCTCCGTCTCCAAAAAAAAAAAAAAAAGAGAAGTCCTAACCTCTAATACCTTATAGCGTGACTTTATTTGGGATAGGGGCTTGACAGAGATAATCAAGTTAAAATTAGTTATTAGGGTAAACCTTAATCCAATATGAGTGGTGTCCTCATAAGAAGAGGAAATTTGGACACAAGTGGGCATAGAGGGAAAATGATATGAACAGACATAGGGAGAAGATGGCCATCCACAGCCAAGGAGAGAAGCCTGGAACAGACCCTCATAGGCCTCAGAAGAAACCAACCCTGCCAACATCTTGATTTCAGACTTCTAGCCTCTAGATCGTAAGACAATACATTTCTACTGTTGAAGCCATTCCATCTGTAATATTTGGTTATGCAGCCCTAGCAAATAAATACACTGAAGTTTTTAGGGAACTACAGATGGCCAAAAGTTTTAAGAATGCTCTTTGGTGCCATGAGTTTATTTTTTTTTTTCTTGAGACAGAGTCTCTCTATGTTGTCCTCTGTAGAGTACTATGGCATTGTAGCTCACAGCAACCTCAAACTCATGGGCTTCAGTGATTCTCTTGTCTCAGCTTTCCAAGTAGCTGGGACTACAGGCACCTGCCACTACACCCGGCTATTTTTTTTTTTTTTTTTTTTTGTAGTTGCCATTGTTGTTTGGCAGGCCTGGGCTGGTTTCGAGTCCACCAGCCCTGGTGCATGTGGCTGGCACCCTAGCTGCTGAGCTATAGCGCCAAGCTACCATGAGTTTATTTTTGTGCTATGATCAACATGTTTCCATTTTCAAAAGTCTAAATAATAAGTACAGGAGGTATCTTCTAAACCTACCTCCTCTTGACTGGGTCCCTAGGGCAAGCTTCCTCCACCCTCTGGGAGACCCACACTCTGATGCAGTGACTTTGCTAAACACTAGCTGGTAGGCAGCTCTCCAGTTAGCTCAGCCACTTCTGCTTTGCTGATGAGGTGTAGATTCTCCATAATTCACCTGTGTTTGTTCACCGCCTCGATTATGCCTGTTATGCTTGTTATTTTAATGACCTAATCTAATTAAATCATGTATAAACTGATAACCCATAGGTGTAGAAAGAAAAAGTTGTTTCTACCAAAACCAAACGGAATGCTTGAGCATTATGAAAGTGAGTTGCTATAAAAATTCCTGTCATATTAGGTGTGTACAAGCCAACTGCAAAAGGCTAGGGGAAAAATTATAAAAATCCAAAAGCCTTTTGCTCTCCTGTTGCTTAATAAGGACCTTTAAGCCCTTATTCTGCTTTATAGAAAACAAACAAACAAAATGCTGGATTGTGATCAGCCAATCCATCATCACAGAGAAGTTTGTGGCCCTTTATGAAAAAATGCCAAATAAATGTACATGTATTTTTTTTTTTAAGAGTCTTACTTTAGTGCGTCACAGCTCAAAGCAACCTCCAACTCTTGGGCTTAGGCAATTCTCTTGCCTCAGCCTCTCAAGTAGCTAGGACTATAGGTGTCGGCCACAATGACTGGCTTTTGTTGCATTTTGGCTGGGGCTGGGTTCGAACCCGCCACCCTTGGTATATGGGGCTGGCACCCTACCCACTGAACCACAGGCTCCACTCCTACATGTATGTGTTTTAAAGAAAAATGAAATATTTGAAGCGGAGCCTGTGGCTCAAAGGAGGAGGGCGCCGGCCCTATATACTGGAGGTGGCCGGTTCAAACCCAGCCTGGCCAAAAACTGCAAAAAGAAAAAAATTTATGGCATGTATAATCCTGAATGATTCTATGGCTAGAGACTTTTTTGACCAGTCCTATTAAAATGAGTATGGTCTTGAAAGCAAGAGATAGTGACTTAAAAGAAAAAATAAAATGAGTATGGTCTTCTATTGAACATAGAAGTCTTTCCTGCCAATGCATAAATGAAGAAACTAACTGTAATTTGCTTGTGGAGGAAGTAGGCACTAGAAGCCAGTTGGTCAACTCGTCTACTGGGCATGGAGCCCTTCCTGCAGCTTACCACCAACTCACTGGGGCTGTACATTTGTTTTATTTATTTATTTATTTTTTGAGACAGAGCCTCAAGCTGTCCCCCTGGGTAGAGTGCTGTAGCTTCACAGCTCACAGCAACCTCCAACTCCTGGGCTCAAGCGAGTCTCCTGCCTCAACCTCCCAAGTAGCTGGGATCGCAGGCGCCTGCCACAATGCCTGGCTATTTTTTTGGTTGCAGGTGTCATTGTTGTTTTGGTGGGCACAGGCTGGATTTGAACCCATCACCTTAGGTGTATGTGGCTGGCGCCTTGGGCAACTTGAGCCACAGGCGCCAAGCCGGGGCTGCACATTTGTGGATCCTTTCCCTAATAATTAACAACATAGGTATATCTGAATCACCCATGGGCTTTTAAACATATAAAAAATTTATATAAAATATATAAAATATAAATATGTACCTGTTCATAATTAGAATATAAATATATTAAACATTATAATGAAATATGTCAACGTTATACTAAAGGAATAACTTTAAAATATTATATATTTAATATAAACTAGTGCTACAAAATACGTAGCTGCCTACATGGGATTCCTGGTACCATGAGAGTGAAAGGATAATGACATTGTCCTATTTCAAGTCTGTCCCTCTTTGTTTTCACTCTTAGCCTGCCATGAAGGAGAGTGCAGGTTTCTGTGTCCTCCTGGGAGGTCACCCAGGTCACCCGTCCAGTGGTGGCTGTTCCCTTGTGGGAGCCATTACCTCCTCCTTCTGGATCACACTGATCCTGGTCTTGATGTAGGGGAAGGCGTGCATGGTGGTCAGGACCGTGTTCCTTCTGTACTGCTCGTGCAGCTCTCCCCGAGGCCGTCCCTCCAGGGTGAAGGGGGTGGTGTACATGAACCTTCTCAGATTGAAATTCTTCTCAAAGTAGGTGACCCGGTCTTTCATCTCATACTCATCGAAGTAGGGCTCCACAAAAGTGATCTGTATGTAGGCCTGCGGCAGAAAGGGGGAGGGAAGGAGATGAGCCATTCTGCAAGGCCCTGGAGGGGCATGCTGGAACACAGTGCAGGGCACCGCCCCTCCCAGCTCAGAAAAGCTGCAGACACCGAGAGCAGCGGCGAGAATTCAGCGGGCTGCCAGTCCTTCTCCACAAGCCCAGGGAGCCAAAGGACTCTGAGTGGGAGAGGACAACCTGCCTGTGGGAGAGGCAGGTGCACTGACTGCCCCCTTTCTAGCAGAGCAAACTGATCCAACAGAAGCCTTGGTATGAGAGTTTGCAAACTGCTATTTGCGAGGCAAAAGCTTTCCTTTTCAGGGTGACTATGACCACTGCATGCTTATGAAGCCAAACTAGAAAAACCTAACGATAGCAAGTATTGGCAAGGACAGAGAACAGCTGGGACTTTCGTACATGAACAGTAGGAAGGCAAAATGTAAGGCTACTTTACAAAACACCGCCGGCAGTTTCTTACACAGTTCAATTGCACTGACCAACAACCCAGCAATCCGACTCCTACAGTGTCCTCAAGAAAACATGTGTCCATACAAAAACCTGCATGCAAATGTCTAGGGCAACATTATTCATAACAGAATAAACTAGAAAGAACCCAAATGTCCTCTGATAAACAAATGGTGGCACGTCCACACAACAGAACTACCCAGCTACACAAAGGAACAAACCGTTCCAACAGGGGTGAGTCTCAGATGGATCATGCCAAGTGAAAAAAGCCAGACTCCAAATGCTGTAGGATTCCACTTATTTGCTGTGTGATAAGATTTGGAAAAGGCAAACCTACAGAGAGGGAAGGCAGACCAGTGACTGCCAGGGGCTGAAAGTAGAGAATGACTCCAGGCTCGGCGCCTGTGGCTCAAGCGGCTAAGGCGCCAGCCACATACACCTAAGGTGGCGGGTTCGAATCCAGCCTGGACCCGCCAAATAACAATGACGGCTGCAACCAAAAAATAGCCGGGCGTTGTGGTGGGCACCTGTGGTCCCAGCTACTTGGGAGGCTGGGGCAGGAGACTCGCTTGAGCCCAGGAGTTGGAGGTTGCTGTGAGCGGTAATGCCACGGCACTCTACCCAGGGGGACAGCTTGAGGCTCTGTCTCCAAAAAAAAAAGAAATGATAGAAGATAGAAACAAACGAAGCCCTCCCAGCAACACTGATTAGCCTGGCAAGCTGAAACTTTCGGGGTGAATCAGAAAGGAACCTGTCAACAGTGTTTCTAAGTGAAATAATGGACTATAACGGTCTGTTTCAAAATTTTTGTAGTGACCCACTTACCTCATTTAAACTCCCCTACCCCGGCTTCCACATACACATGCAGAATAAAGAGGGTACTTATTAAGGAAGAAGGCCTCTTTAAAAAACAGGGTGACAGTGAGCACAGACAGTAGGACACCCACTCACGGAAGGGGTGGGTGGGGCCACTGACCTCAGACTGTAAATCGCTATTTAGCATAATGAAATCTGGTTGTGATTTTGGATTAGACTCTCATTCCAAGCTCTTACACCTACTTTGGGAATGTTAAAGGAGGGGAAAAGAACACTCCGTGTCAGGGAGGTCACTGGCGATTTTATATAGCCGTGCTGGGCACAGATCACTGCGGGCACACAGACAATCCTATCTTCTAAGGACCCCAAACATTTTGTCTGAAGCTTCGTTCAACTCTTACCACAGACATTGCTTTCAAACCTAGGCTATGAAAGGTATCTTTAGCAAGGAAGTGTTCTGAAAGATGTAGAAAAAAATAAACTCTTAAATTTGGCAATTTCTTCCCCGATTGCATCATTCTCACAATACCCTGGAAGACAGAACTGAAGAAGCATTTGGGTCTTTCGTTTTATAGGTTTTCCAGATGGCAGTTCGCCCTCCGTTCCCTGGGCCCTTAATAATATCTTGTACTTGCATTATATCCAGCAGAGAAAGCTTATTCATGAACATAGCTGTGTGTGGCATGGCTGGGCAGGCAGGTATCGCCCTGGGGAATAAAGAATATGTCTGGTTCTTGTTCCTGTGTCCTGGCACAGAGCTTCAAAACCTGGGAATTTCCTGAGTGATAGGTGTACCTTTGTTATGCTAATGAGGGGACTCCTGGCAGGCCCCTAGTCAGCTTCAGGTCATCAAAAAGACCACTCATGGCTTGGCGCCTATAGCTCAACCGGCTAAGGCGCCAGCCACGTACACCTAAGGTGGCGGGTTCGAATCCCCAGCCCGGACCCGCCAAACAACAATGACGGCTGCAACCAAAAAATAGCCGGGTGTTGTGGCGGGCGCCTGTGGTCCCAGCTACTTGGGAGGCAGAGGCAGGAGACTCGCTTGAGCCCAGGAGTTGGAGGTTGCTGTGAGCTGTAATGCCACAGCACTCTGCCCAGGGGGACAGCTTGAGGCTCTGTCTCAAAAAAAAAAAAAAAAAAAAAAAAAAAAAAAGAAAAAGACCACTCATGCATTAGAAGCTTGGAACTTTGGGCTAGCCTCACCTCCACAGAGAGGAGAGGGGCTGGAATCATGCCTGTGTAATGGAAAACCCAACAAGAACTCTGGACACTACGACTCGGAGGCACTTCCTGGTTGGTGAACACATTGATGTGCCTGGATTTCAGGGGAGAAGGCACAGAAACTATGTGTCCCTTCCCAGACCTTATCCTCTGTGTACCTTTATATAAAACTGTAACCAGAAGTATAGTACTTAGATGAATCATTTCACTGAATTATCTAATTTGAAGGTGCTGTAGAAACCCCCGAACTTGTAGCTGGCTGGTCAGAAGTGTGGTTGGCCCAGGAGCTCCCCTTGAGCCTGATGTTTGAAGTAAGGGCAACCTTGAGGAAGACTGGGCCTCTAACTTGTGGGTTGGCGCTAACCACGGTGTTAGCATTAGAAGCTACTTCAGTACACCCACTTTGGGGCAAAATGGACCATGTGCCTGTGAGAAATCGAGGAAACAGAAGCCCAAGCCTTTTGTACCATTCCCTCGACAGCACAGGGATCCTACGCTTGGCTTCTAAGAGGAGTGCTTGCAGCCTAAAGAAGAGTGCCACAAGATGCTTTCGGAGAGTCTGCAACTTTTAAATGTGTTTTAAATGGAGACTTCAAAGGTTTTATAGAAAGGCAGTAAAGAGCAGTGATTAGCAGTATGGGTTCAGGGACAACAGTTTGAGTACTGGCTCTTCCACTTGCATGATCTTGGAAAGATGCTGGCCCTTTCCAGGCCTCAGTTTTATCATCTGTAAAATGGGAACAACAAAACCTACTTGGAAGGACTGATGGAGGATGAAATGAAATGACATATGTAAAGGGCCCAATTCGGTTCCAGACACAAAGTTGGTGCTTAATAAACAGTAGCTCCTATTATGATTCTGGTGTTTGAGTATGTTTTTCTTTAAGATTTGACCACTTTTTGTAGCTAAACCCTAGACAAAAATGTTTGGCTGCATTTAAATGACTTGGAAATCCAGATGGAAGAGGTCATTTTGTGCTCTCAGGATAGGAAAAAGGGATTTAGAGCCTGATGATTAATTTCTGCATTTTTTAAATACCTTGTTTGGATCCAACTTGCTTTTGTCCACAGGAGTGGAGTCTTTTATCACTTCCACAAATTCCGCGCCAAAACACTGACCATAAAATCCCTAGGTAAGAAGAAGCAACAGTTTGTAAAGGTTAGTTTCACATCATGCAACTCTTTGTCTTCTCAGAAGTGACAAAGTTTGGAACAAGTGCAAGGTAGAATCTGCTCGTTGATTAGTGAGAGTCCCTCTGAGCTAATGAGCAAAGTTCAGCATTTCCTGAAACAATATAAGGAAGGAAGGAACAATAAAAATATAAGGAAGGAACAATAAAAATATAAGGAAGTTCAGCACTGTCAACTGATACACGCTTCCCTAAAATATATGTGCTTGTTTCAAATTCAACCATCATCATCATATTTCCTGAGGCATCTCCTGGGGTATCAGGCTCTTTACTTCTCACTTTTTGTACCCAGGGAACTTGGAGGTCCCCAGGCTTCCTATGCTGTGGCAAATTACAGTGCACGAGAAGACAAAAATACATACCTCTAACTCTAAGGAGGGACCACGTTTAGAAAACCAAGCAGTCTGGGGAACCTGTTGCTAGTTCTCTTTCTCACATGCTGAGTCACTTTGGGCAACTCACTCAGCTGCTCTGGGTGATGGTTTCTTTGAGTCAAGTAAAGATAAAAGTCTCTTGTCTTGCTCGGCATGGTGGGGTAGAGCAAGGAGTAATTAGGAAACACAAGGGTTTTAAGTCTTACAGTTTTAATAAGAGGGCATACATTGAAAACAATAGCAAGAAAGCATAGGAACGAATCTTTGGTTAACTGTCAGAGGTCCGCAGACCCTAGTCCCTCTGCCCGAGAGGGTTTTGCTGTGGAAGTCACCCTGTGACTTTCTTCCTGAGTTTAGTCTTTGGCCCTTACACCATCTGTTTTCTTTTTCCTAATGTTTCTCTAGGGTGTTAATCTTTGCTCCATCCTTTTAGCCTTTCTTCCAAAGAACCTGCTACTCTTTTCTGTTACTTTGTGGACCAAATGTCAACAGCAAGTTGGAGTTGGGGCTGGTCAAGTAGCTCTGTATCAGAATGGAAGATGTTGTCCAGTGACACCAAAAGGATGGCCACCACATTTTCTAGGGGTGATTCAGTAATGCAGCCAGATTACTTTAAAGTGAAGAGGATAACCGAAAAACTGAATTTGCCACCTGTTCGTATATATTAGTTACGTTGGGAGAGGGTGATAGGAAAGGACATGACATTGAGTAAATTTTGCATAGATTTGAAAATAAATATTTTCCATATAATTCATGAACTTTGAAAAGCATACCCAGGATCTTAGGGGAAAACTAGCCAAATCTTCCTTTACCTTATGATTATATTATAAATGCAAAGTGGAAAAATGTATGCAGAGATCGATGGTGAATCCATGATTTATTATTTATTTACTTATTTTGGGTATTGACCCAGCCTAACTTGTTTTGGTCAAGTATACAATGTCAAGCCACAGAATCATTTTTCTTACCTCTAGTCTATGGGAGATCTCAGGAAGCTTGGTAATTGCAGGCTCTTTGTAAACAAATTCCTGCTCATCTAAATCCCCAAATTTGGATCCATAGAAACCAACTCGGAAGTAGGTTCCAAACATTCTCTTATGATCCTGGTGAACGAAATATGAAAATCTCTCTTTAGTTATATAATTCCTGAGGATCCACGGGGCTGCAAATGCAGGAGTCTTCTACTGGGTTACAAAGCATTTTATTCCTATGGTTGATGTAAACAGAAATCATTCCTTTAAGGAAGATGTCATTTTGGGTTACACATGCACTGGAGCTGGTGGGTTCGATTCCAGCTCAGGCCTGCCAAACAACAATGACAACTACAATAAAAAAATAGCTGGGTGTTGTAGTGGGCGTTTGTAGTCCTAGCTACTTGGGAGGCTGAGGCAAGAGAATTGCTTAAGCCCAAGAGTTTGAGGTTGCTGTGAGCTGTGACCCTTTGGCACTCTACCCAGGGTGACAACTTGAGACTTTGTTTCAAAACAAAAAGAAAAAAAAAGAAAGATGTAATTTTTATGGAAGAAACTTTGCAAATAATAACAAAAAACAACATGAAAGATTTAAGGGCCTTCTTTTAAGCTAATTTAAAAGATCCTCACATGTCCTGATTACAAAGTACAGGCAGTTCCTGAGTTACAAACATCCAACTTGCATAAAACTTGCACTTTTGAACAGAGGCTATTTCCAGTAATAGGTTAATGCACCTGTTCCAACTTAGATACAAATTAAACTTGAGAACAAACTCACAGAACCTATCTTGATTGTAATCTGGAGACTGCTTATCATTCAAACTACCTTCTTTTACACTTGGGATTCTGGTCATCCATTACCAGCCCTTTTCTGATAGGTGGGAACTAGAATAATGAAGCACTCGGGCGCCAGCCACATACACGGAGGCAGGAGGTTCGAAACTGGCCTGGGCCTGCTAAACAACAATGACAACTGCAACAAAAAAATAGCCGGGTGTTATGGCGGGTGCCTGTAGTCCCAGCTACTTTGGAGGGTGAGTCAAGAGAATCGCTTAAGCCCAAGAGTTTGAGGTTGCTGTGAGCTTGACACACAGCACTCTACCCAGGGCAACATAGTGAGATTCTGTCTCTAAACAAATACATAAATTAATTTAAAAAATAAAGTGTTCAAGGTAAATCCCTCCCCAGAGGGGAGGGAGGGATAAGCATCTCTAGGACAGGGTCACCTGCCACCAGGTAACAGGACCTGCTACCAGGGTCCCCAGCTACCTTGCTAATGATGTTGTCAAAAGTCTTCTGCAGCTTGTTGTGAGTGGAGGTCAGCTTTCGGAAGTCTCGATGTGCTTCCAGGATGGGGATTACCAGCTTGTAGACCTCGTTAACTGTTTCATATAAGCCTCCCTTGGAAAGAGGAGAGGAGAATAGAGAGAATTTAATCCACCGGAAACTCAAGAGAGCAACAGGAGTTCATGGTCCAGACAATGCACTGGAGGATGGATTTAGTGTTGCAACACAGGATTTTACACAGCAGGGAGGGATGGCTGAGCATCTATGGGACAGGTGTTAGCATTCAAGCGCAACTAGACCCATCACTAAGTGGTTCTGTATGCAGATGTTAAGTAGGGAGAAGCATTTGGGGGCGGAGGAGGAGACAGGAGTTTGGCAGCAGAGGCTAAGCGTAATTCAGGGAGGCAGCTTTGGTGTATTTAAATTTCATCCAAGGTCCTTCAGACAGATGCTAAATGTATGCCTCACAGGAGTTAGTTAAGATGCTAACCAACTAATTTTCTTGAATTTGAGGAAAAAGAGGAGTATATTAGCCATTTTCTGAATTCTGAAAAGGAAAGTAAGAAAAAAGAAAACATACTTGTATCAGCTAAATACAGTGAAATACTATTTACTTGGCTTAAAAATTAAAGGAGGAGGGGTGTTATTAAAAAAGAAAACCAACAAGCGACTTTCCCTCTTGCCCTGAATCTCAGTGACTTAATCTATGTATTGTTTCTCATATTAGGAATGTTTAGACCCAGATTAATTTAATGAGGAAAGTCTTAGTGATTTCTGTTTCCACTCTTCCCTAAGCTGGTCCTGGTCTGTAAAGATCTGGGGTTACTCATTTGTCAGGAGGGAAAGTGGTCTGTGTATTCCTTCCTTCTCCTCCAAGTGGTTCCACCCACTTTTTTCTCTATTAAAGGGAAAAGGGAGGGGGAGGATATGCCTCATCGTTTATTGTGTAACACTGGGCAAGCCATTTCACCTCTCTGTGGCTTCTTTTCTACCCCTGTTAAGTGGAAATAATACTGTGAAATTGCAGCCCAGCCAATGGGCATGTAGTGAAAACCAGAATATGACCGTGATGAAAGGCACTCTCACCTCCCTCGGGGAGCTGATGCAATTTGCATACATCAAAGTCTTCCCCAGGCTCCTCCCCTGCCCTGCACACCCTGGCATGTGTCCTGGGGAGGTAGAGCTGCCTGGGCTGTTAAGTTAGGGCATTCACAGCACCCTGAGTCCAGCCGGGGCATGTGTGGCCAGGCCCTGGGATGCCTGCTGGCACTGACCGTGCTGAAGAGCTCTGCAGCCTGCTCCAGGAGGCCCACCAGGCCACTCTCGGTGAAGTACCGGCCGGAGCACACCCCGTCCTCGTCAGGCGACAGGGTGTCGTCGGAGACTGCAGACTCCTCCAGCACGTTGGAAGAAATATTCTGAAAGAGATCACAGCATAAGTCCAGAGAACAGGGGGACCAGACTTAGACCACAAGAATCCATAATGTGGGAATGAAGAAGCCAGTCTCCAGGTCCTTACCAAGGCTGCGATTTCTCCCAGGAGAGGTTCTGACTGCCATTCATTTGGAAAGGACACCCTGAGCAACTGATCTTCAAATCTTACAATTTTCTTTTCTTTTTAACCATTTGGAGGCATTACATAAAGGGCATTAAACCCAATGTAACAACAGTTGAGTTACTTTAGTGGAATAACCCTAAGGAACGTACAGCTGGGGTCTCAGTTTTTAAAAGGCAAAGGCCAATTAATAGTTACCTAGGCTCACTGTTTCACCAGCCAGTGAACCTCTGACTTTTGGGGGTGTTTTTCTGAACTGCACTGCCACTCCTGGCTTGACTTTGATAAGTAACTATCATGTATGACAACAGCAAGTGAGAATGTCTTCTTTATGGAATTTTTTACAACAATGCAGTAGGTACTGTTCCCCCCCGAACATTTTGTTTCTATGTGTTTCCCTCTATATAAATGATAGAGTAGAGCATCTAGCACACAGTACAATGACTAGGGTTAGGGTGAAACGAATGAGAAATCCAGGGCACAAAATTGAGAGAGGTGCTCACTCTCAGGGTCATGGAAGTGCTGATCCTATACTGTCTGACCCTGACAGTGAGTGCCTCCTCACATTTTGTACTTTGTCTACTTTGCTTGCCTCACCCTAGTACTGGCCCTGGCAAGTGATTCTCGGATTCTTGACAGGTCAACACTCATTTTTTTCTTGGCTCACAGCTATAAAAGAAATGCAGATAGAATGTAGAAGAAATTGGAAACCTATCTAGCTTGAGGACTGCAAACAGGTAGCACATATGGCACCCCTTCCTATTGCTGCACTCATGGCAGGCATAACTAATCAATTACAGCACTCTTTCACCTGGAGCTTGGATATAGTCTCAAAATTCACCTCAGTATAGTTCTCCAGCCACTACCAATTGATCAGAATTAACGTGTGAACCAAAAGTGGCCTACCTTCTGGTCTGGGTAGCCTAATCAAGTGAATCACCCTTAGCAAACAATGAGAAGACTATTGTTTATAGCCCTATCACGTGCAATATTACCATGTAATATTACGAATATAGGAGGAGGTTTTCAAAGTCTTTTGTGGCCAGTCATTCTTCTAAATTTGGCCTATTATAATGGTTCTGAATTGGAGATAACAGAAGGTCCAAGAGATTCAGTTGAAAGACTCTAATAACTGAAGAAACTAATATAATTAGAATTGTATATAATTTTCTTCTCCTTTTTTAGAGATAGGGGTATCACTATATTGCCCAGGTTGGACTTGAACCCCTGAGCTCAAGTGATTCTCCTGCCTCAGCTGGGCTTTACAGGTACATAACACTGTACCCACTGCAATTTTCCACATTACAGGAAAATACCTGATGCTATGTAGCCTCATTAGCTTTAGTCAGAGGATAAAGATTCTGGAAAAAGACTCTCCTAGCTTGGTGCCTATGGCTCAAGTGGCTAAGGCACCAGCCACGTACACCTGAACCAGTGGGTTCGAATCCAGCCCGAGCCCACCAAACAACAATGACAGCTGAAACCAAAAAATAGCCAGGTGTTGTGGCAGGTGCCTGTAGTCCCAGCTACTTGGGAGGCGGAGGCAGGAGAATCACTTAAGCCCAGGAGTTGGAGGTTGGTGTGAGCTGTGATGCCATGGCACTCTACCACAGGGCAACAGCTTGAGGCTCTGTCTCAAAAAAGAAAAAAGAAAAAGACTCTCCTAGCTTTAGAATTAGGAAGGTAATAGCAATATCCACGATTGTGTCCATGTTTACATTTGTGAAATAAATATTGCACTCTGGGACGTAGAATTTCAACGATCTCAGTTCCTAGGAATTCAGTGACCTCAAAGCTTTTTTCCATGCACAGATTTTTTTATCTCCAGTTTAAGACTTTTCCAAAGACTTAACTTTTATTAGGGCAGAACACAGTCTAAAACCAAAACACAGAGCACTTAAGAAATCAGCACTGAGTATGTGTTGTTAATGCTGCCCTCTTCTATGAAGTGGAGCAACCTGACTTTGCGGAGAAGGGTGTCACTCAGAGCTCCAGGTGTGGTCCTATGACTCCAGCTCAGCCAGCCAGCCATTCCATTTCTCTGGCCATTATCATTGCTTCAGGGATGAGCATATAACTCAATCAGGATCTGTAAGGTGCACTGAGACTTTTTCTGCAACTGCTAGAAATCAGATCTCTCTCTTTTCTCCTGGACTTAAACCTGGAGATGCAAACTTAAACTTTAATCAGTGTGAGAAGCCTGTGAAGATTGAAGCTGACACAACAGAAGGCAGCGACAGGAAGTGGTGATGACTCTGAGGTCTAACGACATTGTTTGGGCTCCAGGTCCAGTTTGGCGGGGCTCCTCCAGGCTCACCTCTCTCACGAGGGCTGAGCAATTCCATTTTTACCTTACTTCAGTCTGCGTTGGGTGTTCTGTCACTTGCCAGCACACATTGCTAAACTGATCTAGTAGATCTCATTTGAGAGAAATAAGAATTCGCTCATAAGCATCCCCCAAAGCATTGGCTTCTCTTTGGTAACTGAGAACACCTAACTCATCATGTTCTGGACATTGTGAAGGTTTCACATTTCAGTTTCTTCAGCCTTCCTTTTGCCCTTCGTCCCCCTTCCCTGACATCCAGGCTGGGCCACATTATAGGTGCTCACATCTTCTCTATCTTTCTAACAGTATTTCTCATAGTTGTTATTGAATAGAGAATGGAATGGTTAGTTATATGGTGTCTCTCTGGCTAGAATGTCAAGTTCATACGGATAGAGTAGGTGCTCAATAAATACTTTGTTGGTTTTTTTTTGAGACAGAGTCTCACTATGTCGCCCTGGGTAGAGTGCTGTGGCATCACAACTCACAGCAACCTCAAACTCTTGGGTTTAAGTGATTCTCTTGCCTCAGCTTCCCAAGTAGCTGGGACTACAGGTGCCTGCCACAACACCTGGCTATTTTTTGTTGCTGTTGTTATAATTGTTTGGCAGGCCCAGGCTGGGTTTGAACCCTCCAGCCCTGGTATGTGTGGCTGGCACCCTAGTTACTGAGCTATAGGCACTGAGCCTCAATAAATATTTTCTAAAGGAAAGAATGAATGGATTAAGATATATTGAAAGACAGAGCTGTGAGCCTCCATGTAGGGTTAATATGGAGCTTTTCTCTTGGTTCCGTAATAACTATTCTAAATCACCTTGGCATGTCTCATTATAAGCAAATCAACTGAGTTCTAGGTAAAATTAGAACAGTAAGGCTACTGAACATAAAACTCAATGAAATGTAATTTATTACTTAAGTGATAAATATTAAATAAAATATAGTAACCGGGAAAAGGGCATAAAAGAATTGCAAGAAATAGTTTAGTAAATGAAACGAGGGAAGGGGAGGATGCAGTTCAACATAAAGTGACATACCTATAGATTTCCTGGGAATTAAAAGAGGAGTTCTATAATATTTACCCTTGATAATATCAAATGGCCAACATAAATTTGATGAAAGAAGCAGATATATCTAAAATATATATATATATTTAACTTTTTTGTTCACTTATATGTGATTCAAAATCAGATATAATATTTTTATGCTTTTGGATAAAAATTTCACTACTGGATTTTATAACAAGCATTTCTGAAAATGAGAATAAAATTCATTTGCCAAGAATGAAATCACAGAATAAATATTTTTGTCACTGAGGACCATAAGTGAGGAGGAGTTAATAATGTGAGGTGAAGTCCAGCATGGCAGATGAACAACATTCTTTTTTTTTTTTTGAGACAGAGCCTCAAGCTGTCCCCCTGGGTAGAGTGCCGTGACATCACAGCTCACAGCAACCTCCAACTCCTGGGCTCAAGCGATTCTCCTGCCTCTGCCTCCCAAGTAGCTGGGACCACAGGTGCCCACCACAGCGCCTGGCCATTTTTTTGGTTGCAGCCATGATTGTTGTTTGGTGGGCCTGGGCTGGATTTGAACCCACCACCTTAGGTGTATGTGGCTGGCGCCTTAGCCACTTGAGCCACAGGCGCCAAATCAGATGAACAGCATTCTGGGAAGCCAGGTACTCCTGGCTCCACTAGCTGCAGTTTCCATGACTTATCCTCTAAGCCTGAGAAAGCTACTTTGAATTGTTTTTTCTTTCTGGTTCACACAGCATCACAGGGTTGTGTTGAAGAACAATGAGAACAGTCTTTCATAAAATCAATCATGTAAATTCAAACAAGAATAATACAAACACTTGTAAATGACTGTGTCAGTCTGGTTTGAAAGGTGCTCGACTACTGTAGCTATATTGCTCACGGTTTCAGGGATCCGAGTCATCTCTACAGATTATGACTCCTTTTAAAAAAGTACTCACCACTTCTTTTTCCTCTCTAAAGACTGTGCTAAGGACTCAGTTAGGGAGGTGCAAGTGAGCACTGAGCATCCCCGCCTGAGCCAGCTTTTAGGTCTGGCAGACAATTTCCCTTTGCCAACTATGGATGATTTTTCACTTATCCTCAGAAAGTACTCATTCAGCCTTTCCCCGGTCAATTTGATTCTCGATTTTGGATTAGAGAATGGGCCTCTACAAAGTTGGTAAGTAGAATCAAAGAAATGAGTCATGAGGGAAATAATTTCTCTAACATTCAGGAATACTGAACTGTCTCAGTCCCTTCATCAGTGAAGTGGAGTAGTAACACCTTCCCTGCATACCCGGTCACAGGGTTATGGGCAGGTTCAAATGTGATCACACACGTGAACATGTCTGAGAACGTCTCCCCAAGTGCCTGTTCACTCTAGGTGCCATTATGGTAAACGATAATTAAAAAAAATGCAAGATGGGAAAACAATTAGAAGAGGCAAATGTAATACATTACGACAGGGTCTTGCAGGGTTTTTTGACCTTGGCACTACTGACATTTGGGGTCAGAAAATTCTTTGTGGAATGTACAATTCCCATGCACTGTGGAATGTTTAGCAGCACCCTGCCTTCTCCCACCGCCCCACCCCCATTATGATAACCAAACATGTCTCTGGAAGAGCTGAGCCGGCCCCCACCTGGAAGCTGACGCTGCCCACGGGCAGGTAGCTGTGGTCCTCCAGCATGCTCAGGTACTCGGCCACCAGTGCTGCTGCGTGCACCAGGCACATGGCGGCCTCCGTGTAGCACTTCTTCTTGGTGTGTTTCTCTGCCATATTCTGGAGCCAGGTCAACCGCAGATCAGGAGATGTCTGGTAACTCTTGGCAATTCTGAACACAGATTGAGAAATAGTTTCAAGGGTAACTGGTTAATGACCCTGTTATTCTATTATGTGTGGCACTTTTTCCCCCAAAGAGCTTTCCGCCTCCCCTGACCCCCTACATCTTTGGCCTATATTTTCAGACAATGAGAGAGAAAAGAAAAAAAACAGTTACTAGTCCAGCTGTTTCATTCCATGTGTACGGAGTGCTGGGCCCCAAGAAAGAGCAATCAGTAAAAGCCTGAAGGGGATAAAAAACCTGAGAAAATGATGTCTATTTGAATGGATTTCAAGCAATTTTCTTCCAATTTTCTTCCTTTTCTTTCCTTTCTCTCAAAATAATAAGAGAAGACAAAAGTACTACTCTTCCCGTGATGTTGCATCAGATCAATTTTGGTTCTGTAAGTAGTTTCTTCTGAATAAGGATTGGCAGGCAAAGTTTTAAACTATAGAGTAAAATATGATTTCTAGAGTAAAACCATACATGTATGTCAGAATATAACTGGAATAAAGCCATGTAGGAAATAATTCATAGTAATTCATGTGTAGTTGATAATTATTATGAACTCATAATGATTCATATATAATCGATAATTCTTTTCTATGGTAAGTAGAAGATAGGGATGTAAAACAGGTATTTCACTTTAAATCAGGGAGATCTTCCCTAAAATTTATTTATGAATCAACCCACTCTGAATGCCTAATTTCTACCAATTTCTATATACAGTTTTGGATGTCAGTTCGAAACACTGTCCCCAGCTCGGTGCCATAGCTCAGTGGTTAGGGTGCTGGACATATATATACACACACACACACACACACACACACACACACACACACACACACACATATATATATCAGGGCTGGTGAGTTTGAACATGGCCTGGGCCTGCTAAACATGATGCTATGAGGACAACTACAACAGAAAAATAGCCAGGCATTGTGGTGGGCACCTGTAGTCCCAGCTACTAGGGAGGCTGAGGCAAGAGAATCACTAAAGCCCAAGAGTTTGTTTTTTTTTTTGACAGAGCCTCAAGCTGTCCCCTGGGTAGAGTGCCGTGGCATTACAGCTCACAGCAACCTCCAACTCCTGGGCTCAAGCGAGTCTCCTGCCTCCGCC